GGTTTAGGGTTTAGGGTGTGTACCGCTGGTCTTTGGCTCTAAAGCTTTCGAGCTTTGTTTAAAGGTGTTCGGGTTTCACGGCTTAAGATTTTAAGGGTTTCGGGGTTTTTAAGGTGTGGGGCAAGCTTGAAGGTTTTAGGTCTTCGTAGAGTCGCCATAAGGGAACTCAGGTGGTTTGGGGTATTGCAACTATAGACTATAGAGGGTCGAGCAGCGAAGCTAACGGTCATAAGCAGTGTGAAGGCATTCTTCGCGCGTTTGGAGTCGCGAAACAAAATCAAAGCCAAAGCAGCAGACGTGCTTTTGGGGCCCTGGCAGCAAAGTCACAGCAAACCTTCGCACGCCTGGAGTCGCAAGGCAAAGTCAAAGCAGCAATCGTACTTTTTGGGGTTTGGGCAGCAAAGCCAAAGCATCTTTCGCACGTTTGGAGTGGCGAAGCAAAATCAAAGCAACAAACGTGCTTTTTGGGCCCTGGCAACAAACCCGAAGCATCCTTCGCACGCTTGGAGTCGCGAGGCAGAACCGAAGCAGCGGATGTGCTTTTGTCGCCGAGGCCCTCGCAGCAAAGTCAAAGCATTCTTCGATCCTTCGTGCATTCGCGGGCAAAATCGCACCGGCTTCGCCCTCAGCTTGCTCAACACTCATAGGACGTATAAGTGTAATGCACGGCGTTGATGCAACTTCCTCGCCTTACGGACTCGCCGTTGTTGTGCCTCGACTTGCTTCATCACTCTTTTTCTTCTACCTGGAATGCAGAAGATTCCAGAGGAGGACAAGCGCCAACACTTCACTGGGACAGAAACCTCTGCACCTTCACGTTCTCTTCACGCTCTTGCTTCAAATGCTGTAGGTGGGCTGAAAAGCTTTCCTTTCAACTCTGTTTGTCGGTCACCGCTACCTCTGTCTGGCACACATTGCGTCCAACCATGCACTCAAAGAGCCTGCGGTAACTCGACTCCCTCCTTACATTGGCGTCGCAGGGAGCTGCTGCGGCTTCTTCTGACACTGCGTACCAAAAGTGCAGAAAGCCGAGCCAACAAACTGCACCAAATAAGAGGGTGTGAAACGGTTCCACTTTATATATATAGTTCACGCCGGGGTTTGGGCGCGGCGGTAATCCAGAATCTTGCACTTGCTTTGAGCTTCGGGGCTTAGAGTTTAGGTTTCAGGGTTTACGGCTTCGGTCTAGGCCTTATAGGGTTTAGGGCGGTTTAGGGTCCGGTTTCCGAGGTGCAAGGTTTAGGGTTTAGGGTGGGGTTCAGGGTTTACGATTTACGGTTTAGGGTTTAGGGTTTAGGGTGGGGTTCAGGGTTTAGGGTCTAGGGTGTCCGGGGTTAGGATGCAGTTTGGGGCCTGCGGGCACAGGGCGTTTCCTCTCCATGTGCTCCTTCCGTATCCATTTGTATATCTGCAGGTAAGTGCCTAGACGCTACACCCTGGATCCATCTGTTTTTTTTGCGCGGCGGCATCTTCCAAGCCCTCAGCCCTACACCCTGTCCTATTACAAACCCTGAAACCCAAACCCCCTAAACCCTAAA